GCTCTTGCGGTGCTTGGCTTGTTCCAAGACCATGAGGGGAAGGACTTGCTGGTGCGTGCTATGAATTGTTTTTGGTATATCTGTCTTTGAACAGGTGAAGCAAACCTTTCATCACGTGTAATCCCACTTCTTGCTACATTTTCTATGAGATGCACCAAGCATTGAAATGAATCTTGACGTTTTGTATTGAACCATCACTACTTTGTGTATGTTGTTTTCTCCTACCTCTTATTTTGAGAAATAACAAATGTTGGATCTGTCCCCTAGGCTCGTACCTGGACTTTTGGTAGTTAAATGTGGTTCACAGTATCACAGTTCGTGAATAGGCTTCCATTTGTTTATTTTTTCTATTTATTGTGGTTAGATTGTTTCAGAATCAATTAAACCTTGCTTGACATTTTCGGGAAATCCAATATAATTGTTAGTTCTCGAATAAGATGTGACCATTTTCAAGTTGTCATAGACACAAACTTGTCAAGGTTTAAAACATGTTTCTGTATTAATAGTCTGTTTATCTGGCAACTTTGATACGTATACTATTCTCTTGAGAACAAGACACAGTTTTTGAATCTCCGTTATATGCTTCAAGTGATCAATAAGTCATTTTTTTGCTCCTGCACATGGAAATAAAAGTTTGGTGCAAATGGTGTTAAAAATATATATCCTCAGTTGATATTTACATCTTATACAAATCTGTTTTTTTAGAGCTCGGGTTTCTCATCGTGATAACCATATTTTTGACTAAAACAATGCTTCCTTAGATGGTTTATACATGTTATACAAATACACTTTTATTTCAAACTTGAATTTCATAACGTGATAAACACATTTTCAACATGGCATGGTTTAGACCGAATATGTCCTTGCAAAATGAAACTATGTTAAATGTGTTGGTTCACATGCCAATTGTTCATGTTCTTCAGGCCCTGATCTTACTATCCTATCTGAATATTCCTTTTATGGCAATCACAGGTTTATGTGATTGGCGGGGATGGAACAATGAGAGGAGCAGTGGCCATATTCGAAGAGTTTAAACGGTGTGGTTTGAGGATATCCATTACAGGGATCCCAAAAAACTTGGACAACGACATCGACATTATAGACAAGGCGTTTGGGTTTCAAGCCGCAGTGGAGAGTGCTCAGTAGGAAATCAATGCGACACATGTGGGGTTGTGAATATTGTGGATGGCATTGGTCTTGTCAAACTTATGGGAAGGAGCACGGGCCACATTACTCTTCATGCGACCCTGAGCAGCCTGAGATGTTGACTGTTGTTTGAATCCTGAGATCGATTTTCATGTTGACGGGAAGGGGCATGTTGTCGTTGTTGTTGCTCAAGGCGCTGGTTAGGAGTTGATTCCCCGGATTGATGACCAGAAGTGAGAGCAGGATGAGTATGGCAACATGTTGTTCCTTAGCGTTGGCCTTCTTCTATAAAGTTTACATACAATTCACATGCATGGTTAAAAAAGCTACTATACTAATGTAAATGTGCTGTTTCTTTGAAGATTACTCATTTCGCTTACCGTTGTTGTATCAAAACAATTGTGTTTTGGCTGCTTGCGCTCATTTCATAGGAGATTGAGATGTGGGACAAGCTACTATCAAATGTTTGGTTCCCATCAAACCGTTTATTTGCCAATAAAATAAAGGTTCCTTTTTTAAAAACACATGAAAGGACAACACTGCATAAGGGAGTTTGCCCTTTGGGAAGGTTTGCTGCTGTGATTAAACGTAGGAAATTTATATACCTATTGTATGACAGTTGCTCAAGCTAAAGTCTTATGTAACATGTAACATCTGGACTTTGTTTGTGGTAATAATTTTTCCCATTGTAAAAGGCCATGTTGCACAAGGTTGGTGTTTTGGGTTTTAATTTAGGGATGTGACACCAATTATGGGTTTGAACTTCAAATGTGTTCGAACATAATTAAGTTAAGGAAGATATCGCGGCACATCTTCGTGGTAAAGTTGTATGTCATATACCTTGCGCCATTTGGCTCTATGCATGCTACCCTGGTTGCTAAAACCTACTTCTACTAGCAAAGTCAAATATTTTCAAAACACTTTTGGGTTTGACATGGTATTTGTGCTTGCTCAAACATAAAGATATTAAAAAAAATGCAAATATTTTCAACGAGCCCGTGGTATCAAATTGGACTCTGCGCCATTTGGCTCAGAGATAAATTAAAATGTGTGTACATCTCATTATAGACAATAGTCTTCATTCTTTTTTTATTAAAGGGGTAAATTTGGTCATCATATGTCCTTGCCCATTACTAAACCGACTAAAACATGAATTTCGTTTTCAACCCGCATATGGATTCAACAGATCTGTGCGTCATATGTCCTTGCAAAATGTTAACTATTTTCATCGACAACATGGTTTTAGCGGGTCTTTGCTGAGTGGAAAGTAAATACATGCATGCAGACAAATCCGAAATCAAAAGAGGTAAGAAATCGCACCGGTCGGCGGCTGGGGAAACGCCTCTGTCACCCAGTTGAGGAACCGAGAAAGAAAGGAGGGGATAGAGAGTCTCCGTTGGATCCGCCCCCTGCCGCTTCATATTCAGCTCCTCACGAGCCACAGGCATGCTCTACGTGGGCTGAGCTAAATAACATATGGGCTATCCTAATCCCTCCTGATCCCTATATCTCCGTATATGCACAACAAAGACATGTTTTTTCTTAGGTTTCTTATATTTTTCCCTCTTTTTTTGCAGGAAAAAGATGCACGGCCAAGTTTCTCATGATGATAACCATATTTTCAAACTAGGCCTGTTCATGTCACACAAATATTTTCTTTTTCCAAACCCATTGCTAAAAAAATACAACCATGCCAACTTTACTCTCTCATCATACTGACCATATTTTCAAACTGAACATATTCATATTATGTCAAGTTTCCTTTTTTCCAGACTATTATTTAACAACGTAATAAACATGTTTAAAAAATAGCATGATTTAGTTGAAGGTTCTTGCAGCATGAAACTATTTTCATTGACAACATGTCTTCAGCAGGTCTCTACGCCATTTGGCGCAACGGGTCAACTAGTACTTCATAAATTATAGATAAGTTGGAGACGTATCACAACTCTCCTCTCTACAGCCGTTGTGCCGCCACCCCACCACCTAACCCCGCTGCGCTGCTGCTTCCCCATCACCCGTCTACAGCCGCCGCACCGCTGCCTCCACTCCCTACCATCGTCGCGCCACCGCTCTTCCCTCCACCACCATGTCTTTCAACTCCTCCATCTCCGGCGCCACCAACCCCTTCGCCGTCCCGGATCCCGCCGATATCTGCAACCTCAACATCCATGAGCGTGTTCCTGTGTGTCTTGATCGTCATGACTCCAGGTACTATGCGTGGAAAACCTACTTCTCGCTCGTCTTTCGCGAGTACAACCTCATGGATCATGTCGACGGCCCCGTCGACTCAAGCACCATGAAAGATGACTCCGAGTGGACCGCCATCGATGCTACACTCATCCGGTGGTTCTTCCTCACCATCTCGAAGGACTTGTTTCACACCGTCATGAGAGATGGTGATGATGCACACGCCGCGTGGGTGAAGCTCAACGACCTCTTCACCGACAATCGTCTTCAGCGTTGCGTCTTTCTGCAACAAGTACTATTTGGTTGTCATCAAGATGATCAATCAATTGATGATTACCGTCGACGCCTCAAGACGCTTTCTGATGAGCTCCGTGACATTGGCGCCAAGATCGACGACGATCTCCTCCTGAGCACGCTCACGGCTGGCCTTAACAAGGACTTCGGCAACGCCACCTCCAACCTTACCTTGATGCCGGAGCCCTCCTTCCCCAAGTTCGTTGCATACCTGCGTTTGGAGGAACGCCGGATGAAACAGGTGAAGAAGCAGGTGCAACACACCGCCCTCGCTACCGGCACTTCTCGCGGCACCCCGCCGCTGCCCGTACCTCCTGCGCCTCCCGCGTCGTCGGGCTTCTACCCGCTACCACCCCCACCCCCGCATGCGCGCCTCAACAGCAGCAGTCCGGCGGTGGCCAGCGCAACAACTGTTGCGGGGGCGGGCGCCCAAAGCAGCAGCAACAGGCACATTGGGGGTGCCCCGTCAGCACCAACCCACACTACCCTGGACCTATGGCACCAACCCTTGGACCGACGTCGTCCACGCATATTCGATGTCGGTGCCACGGCCTCCAGCGTCGGGCCTCCTTGTGTCTCGACCAACGAGCCATCAAGCATATCTTGCCACACCAGGTGCCGCCTGATACACGGCTCTTCCCGTGCGCTGATGGCCGGCGGCTATGCTTCTCCCCCAGTGCCACCTTATGGTGGGTCCTACCTGCCACAGGTTCCTCCGTCATGGGACCCCATCGTCCTGACCGCACTGCACTCGGCCCCGTCACCACATAACTATGGTGGCGGTGGAGATTGGTACATGGACTCGGGCGCCACCACTCACATGACATCTCATCCCGGTAACCTAACCTCCTCCACTTCAGCTCATACTCCTACTCACATCACCATTGGTAACGGTTCCTCTTTACCCATTACACATATTGTTCGTACTTCGTTTCCTTCCACATATACGCCTATCACCATGTCTAATGTTCTTATTTCTCCTAACTTAGTCACGCACTTTGTATCTGTTCATCGTCTTGCTCGTGAGAATCCCATTACCGTTGAATTTGACGATGTTGGTTTTTCTATGAAGGACGCCCGTACCTGGATGGTTCTCCACCGATGTGATAGCCCCGACGAGCTCTACTCGGTGCACTCCTCCTCCACCACCTCCACCCATCTAGTCGCCTCGCCGCCAGTGTCGACCTCTGGCATGCTTGTTTGGGACATCCCAAGTCCACCGTTTTGCATCAAATTCTTCAGAGTTTTTCATTCTCATGTAATAAGGTTGACAACCATACGTGTGAGGCTTGTCGTCTTGGCAAGCACGTTCGTCTCCCCTTTAGCATGTCTACAACTATTTCCACTTTTCTGTTTAAATTACTTCATAGTGATGTTTGGACATCTTGGTTGCAAGCAACACAGGCTACCTCTACTATTTGGTGATTTTAGATGATTTTCTCATTATGTGTGGACATTTCCTCTTCGTCGCAAGTCTGATGCATTTGCCACACTCACCACATATTATACCTATGTCACCACACAGTTCAGACGTCCCATCCTTGCCCTCTAAACTGATAGCGGAAAAGAGTTTGACAATGTCATTGTTCGCAACCTTCTTGCTTCACACGACACTATCTTTCTCCTCACTTGTCCCTACACGTCACAACAAAATGGCCACGCTGAGCGCATCCTACGAACTCTCAACAATTGCTTCTGCACGTTACTGCATTCACTCTAACATGCCTTCCCGTTTCTGGCTGAATGCTCTCCCCACCGCCACTCTTCTTCTCAACATCTGTTTGTGTCGTCTGCGTTGGAACTACACCCCACCAACTCCTCTTTGGTGCGCCTCCATCCTATGATGGCCTTCGTATCTTTGGGTGTCTCTGTTATCCTAGTACTGCGTCCACCACCCCCCACAAACTCGCCCCACGGTCTGTTCCTTGCATCTTCCTCGGGTACCCTCCCAACACCAAAGGTTACTGGTGCTATGATCCAGTGTCCCTTCACATGTACACATCGCAGCACATGTACTTTGATGAGATGGTGTTTCCTTTTCAGCAGGTCCCACCCGTCGTCGAGTCCCCCACGGTACCTCTTGCCGTGCCCCTGCCCTAGCGTGGAACCCGGATCTGGCCTGGCCCTGCTACCACCCCTAACAGGCCCCCTCCCTCGCCGAGTCCCGCCCCGGCTACACCTCCGAGCCCGGCCCCTTCTGCTTCGGCGGTCCCGTCGGATGCCTTTGGCGCGATCAGCCACTCTGGCACGACCCCCTCCAGCTCGGCTGGCTCCCCTGGTGCGGCCCCCTTCGGCTCGGCCGCCACGGTGGTCCCGTCGGACGCCTCTGGTGTGGCCGTCCCTCCAGATCGGCCGCCTCGGGTGTTGTGGCTGCCTCGAGCTTGGGGCCTTGCGAGACGGGCTCGCTTTCATCATCGCCCGCCTCCTCCCCGGTTCATCCGGAGGGCGCTGCGCCCCTCTCCAGGGTGGTGACCCGGGCTCGTACTAGGACTTTCCGGCCTAGCATGTGCTACACC